TCCTTCCTTCCTTCCTTCCTTCCTTCCTTCCTTCCTTCCTTTCCTCTCTTCCCTCCCTTCCTTTTCTTCTCTTCCCTCCCTCCCTCTCCTTCTCTCTCTTTCTTGAGACAGGGGTTCTCCACACAGCCCCGGCTGTCCTGGAACTCACTATGTAGATCAGGCTGGCCTTGAACTCAGAAGAGATCCACCTACCTCTGCCTCCCCTGTGGTGGGATTCAAGGCGTGTGGCACCATTCCGGCCAACCATTGGAAAGCTCACAGATCTGCAGGGCACTTACTCCTGTGCAGCACATGTGTGGATGTGCAGCAAGGAGGAGGCAGGCTCAATGCTGCAGGCCCCACTAGGGTGAGAGAGGAGAAGGAAAGCAGGGTCATCCCAGCAGGGAGTTTCACAGATGTTGCCTATCTCCCTCAGGGTTTAACTGCAGAGTCCTAGAGATGAAGACCAATACACGGAAGGCAGAAAAAGCTGTGTTTAGAAATATAAGTGTGACTCTTGGTCTTTATTTAAAAATTCAGATAGCTTCTATTTGTTTTAGTAATGACTAAGTTCTCTGTCCAAGTTTTGTGTAAATTATGGTTCAGTAACAGTGGAAATATTCCCTTTTAGAAATAATGTACAGAAAAAGATTTACACCCTTCAACAATGCAAGCAGTGGCAGGCTGGACATGTTTAAAATCAAGTTTTTTTTTTTTTATTAAAAAGTTCTACTTAATTGCTTAAATAAAAATAACATTAAAATAATCTCTATATACAGTTACAAAGGATGGGAAAGTTTCTTATAATTCTGAAAAGATGAACATGATATGTCCATGATGTTCTAAACAGTACAGAAAAGTCAACATAAATGACTTCTGCTCCCAGTCCTCAGAGAAATGAAGAGACCCGAGTCTAGTCAACCACTTTTATGGACTGAACGCTGGAGAGAGACTGGGTGTGGGCTGGCCTGGCTCCGAGAGACCTAGAGGTTGGGATGCCGCCACCTTCAGGATGGACGGTCCGTGGGTACTTGGCAGCAGCTGCCTGAGGAATGGTTTGCTGTAAAGATAAGAGGCTGCTTTAATGATCTGAGAGAGTAGATGTGAAGCATCATTTCATCACCTATAACCCCACACCAACAAGCATTTGACATCCCACAGATACCAGCAATGCACTGGGTGGAGCTGCCACTCAAACAGACACAGTGAAGACCTTCTTTAAAAGGAACCCATATTTCAACAACCACATTTAATACCAGAGCCCTGGGAATCATTGCTCTAAGAGGAAAATGTCTATAGAGGCCAAGGACAGAAAAGGACTTTGGTATCTGGATGAGAGTCAGCTCTACATCATTCACTCCTTATTCTATCGAGCCCAGGCCTTGCTTCAAACCATGGTGAATAGACCTCAGGTTTCACTTGGGAGCAGACCCAACATTTTATAGTCACACAAGAGAATGCTCCCCTGAAGATAAGTGGCTCCCTTAACATCCCTTTCCTTCAGGGATGGCTTTGTAGCCCACGCTGGACTCAGACTTGTGATCCACCTGCCCAGGCTTCAGAATGTTGGGAATGTGGAACATCCACCACACCTGGTTGGGCCACATTGTCCTAAACAAGGAAAGAACTGGGGAACAAACAGACGCCGAGGAGAAGGTGATCTGCAGGCCATTTCACAGCCTAGGAGAACAGAGACATGAGTGCTCAAGAACTAAAGCCAGGGCAGAGCAGACAGTCTACTTATGTGATACGTAAAAATATGCACTGTGTATATACGTACATGGTAGCCATACGTACATATGAAAACCAGTTAAGACTTTATTGTACCTGTGACAATGTCTTAGTACCTGGCAGGGGATTTGTATCAAGTTATGTTCTTAGTCATGTCCACAGATTGCTATTATAGGAGCTTCCACTTGAAAAATTATCTTTAAAATATTTCAAGTACAATTTTATGCATTAGGGGCAGGGGTGATGGCTCAGTAGGAAAAAGATCTGGGTTTCGTTGCCAGCACTCACATAGTGGATCACAAGAAGGGCCTCTGTGGACACCAGGCATACATGTGCTGCACAGACATATATGTAGGTAAAACATTCACACACGTAAAATTTATAAAAAATGCATTTAGCCAATATATTTACTTCAAAGACTGCATAATAAAACAGGGCCCTCATGTCCAATTCTGTCTTAAAAGTGAGAACTCCTCTATGGAGAAGTGGAAAAGTAACCTCCCTTCTGAAGGTATCTTATACAGATGTTTCTCCAACTATAAACACCTGGATAACTATTACAAATGGGCGAGTCTTATAGCTGGCATGAAATTTTAGTTGACGAGCATCAAATATGACATGATTTATCAAAGCTGTTTCTCCTTGAGGTTGGGTAAAAGGAACTGTAGGAAGAGATTAGAGTTCCCATGGGCATTGTGATCTACAAAATATGGCAAAACACACAATCAGCCCTGGAAGCAAGTGAACACCCAGCTGATGGGCAAAGGAGTTACAGACAGATCCATGCTTTATTGGCAATGATGGTTTCTGCCAGTTTTAGATCTTGATTCCCGGGAAACACTTCAAACAGCACAGAGGCCCACAACTGTCACATGACAAAAACTAAGCAAGAATGGAAGGGTTTCTCCATCTCTGACTCATGGCCCATACTGCACGCCTGCTGAATATCAGGAGAGAACAGTTAAAGAATTTCTAAGATTCTAGTTACTCGAAGTATAGCTCTGAATAAGTTATTTGATGGAGGCTTCACCTGAACTCAGGGAAATTAAGGAAAACAGGAAAGGATGATGTAATATTAGGAGAAAAGGAATCGATGAAAGTAGATAAAATTCTACTCCATCACAACAAGAAGCTGATATAAAACAAGTTCAGTTTGGGAAAGAATGGAGAAATGATGTGATTTTATTTTAATTCAATAAAAACTTAAATAAGAAAAAAGATTCTACTCCCTCAATTTCTTTATTCTCTAAAACACTAGGGCTGGAGAGACAGCCTGGAGCACCTGTTGCTCTTCCAGAGGACCCAGGTTCAATTCCTGGCTCCCACATGGCAGCTCACAACCATCTGTAACTCCAGTTCCAGGGGCTCTGATGCCCTCTTCTGGATCAGGCATACATGTGGTGCACAGACATACATGCAAACAAACACTCAAAGATTAGAAAAAAGAAACAAAACCTCGTATTCCTTTTCTAGTAACTTTCTAGGGAGTCATGATTCCTAATGGCTCTGTGGTCTCCACAGTACCCCTGCATATGTCATTACTTTTGGTATCATCTCATTTACTCCTGAATTCTGACAGTGTTCCAGAAGTTCAGTACTCTTGTCAACCCCATTTCACAGAAGAGAAATTGGAGGCCGGATTATCTGACTTGAAGCTCTGTCCAGGTGCAGCAACTGGGATGTTCTCACTTGCCTGCTGCTTCAAGTCTGTGCGTCTTCCCTTACATCTTATGTATTTCTTGCAACTCACCACCCTTTAATATAGAGATAGGCTAGATACACTATTGAAGGAGACTGGAAAATACAAGGGCAAGAGTAAGCAGTCTAATGTAGGACATTTTCTTACAATCAACACCCGCTGCATGAAGAGTTCGTTTACCAGTAAATTATTTTTCTTTCTTTTTTCTCTTTTTACATGGAATCTTTAAAGTTTACTGTTTTAGCAGTCGACATAACAGATTACCTTTTCTGTTTGATGATTTTTATGCCATTTGGAATAAACATCTTCCTTAACAGAAGAAAATTTTAAGTATGATTGATGGCAACAATGACCAACCATGAATGTCGGGGTTGATTAGGGGACAAACTCATGAGAAAGACTTCCTGACAGGACTCACCACTGTGACTGGATGATGCTTCTCCACGACGACTGAGCTCATGGGAGGAGAAACTCCCATGATAGCCAAACTGCTGCTGACTCTAGTTTTGGAAGCAAAATCACACCGACCCGTGATCCGCGCTGTAATCGTCTTCCCGGCTTTCTGCTGGGCTGAGGTCACAACTCTTGGTATGTACTACAAAACAAACCAAAGACCCAGTCGGAGGAAGAGCCACTGCACAATTTACATGACTTGGCTGTGTAACTTTCAAAGAAAACACACAGCACTTAAAAGCTAATGAGACAAAAAAGCAAAACAAAACCTCAATATTCCCAAATTTCAAAACATTTCTCTAACCTTGGCATGTCAACTGTCTAAAAATGTTTTTTGAGATTTAAAATCCTTATTTTGAAATGACAGATTCCCAGGAAGTATCCTTTTGTTCTCTTAGGTTCCTGCAGGATCAAGTCCTACTAGAAGTCAATCACACTGACACCAGCACAATGGTGCTGCAGGAGGCTTTTTTTACATGCAGATTCCTTACCACTGCCACTGAGGTCACTCCATCAAACATACCACCTCTCGCCCACTTTCCCTTCTCCCCACTCATCCTCCATAACACCACCACTATCTGCGTTATGACTTTAATCCGTACATAGAATTATCATCATTACATATATGCTTTTGTCCTGCTGAAAAAACTTTAACAATATGTTTCACAAATACAGAAACCTAAAATAATTTGCGAAGAACGATTTCATATGACAGACTAGTTCTTTTTCTCTGTTCTCTTCCTATTACATTTGGTAAATTTTTTTTTGGTAAAAACACTTTCAGTTATTTTTGTAGAGATACTGCAAGAATGGGATGATCATATCAAAACACAACTTCAACATTTAAAACTTTTATTTGTTACTACTAGACGACATTGAAGAAAGATGACATGCATATCAAGAGTGAGGTATAATTTCCTTTTAACACTGTCAATTACATAAATGCTCCACTCAGTGTAAGGGCATGTGCTTTGATTTAACTTGTAATGCTTCATTAATGTTTCATATTTATACTACAGCTTGTTAGTTCTTTAACTGTAGGTCAGAACTGGAAAGGACTGTTGCTATTAAAACAATGTAATAGCTCCAAATCCTGGGCAGGGTGGTACAAATGTGCGAGTCAGCACCTGGGAGGCTGAGGCAGGAAGACCACAAGTTTCAGGTATTCTCTTTCTCTCTTGCTCTCTCTCACAGACAGACAGACAGACAGACAGACAGACAGACACACACGCGCGCACACCCTAGCAACAGCTGGGTTGGGAGTATTACTGAGTGATTTTGGTATGCCACGAATGGACCCATGGGTCTAATTCCTAGCTCCACAAACAAACATTTTTAATAGTTATTTTTAATAGTTAGTTGGGTACTAACTTCATTTAAGGACTGCAGATACTTACCTAGTCATATAAACATTATGTATTTCCTTCCTTCCTCGGATGTTCAATCTGCATGTGATAATGCTTGTACATACATATGCAGAAGCCAGAGAGAGGCTGCGTGCCTCTGTTGCTCTCAGACCTGCTGCTCTGAGACAGGGTCTCACTGAACAGAAGCACATTGTTCATTTAGGCTTGCTGCCCGGCCACTGAGCTCCCAGGATCCACCTATCTGTCTCCTGGTTCTCCTGTACACCCCGTGCTGGAGTTACAGTCATGTACAATCATGCCCGACTATTTTGAAAATAAGTGTTAGGGTTTGGAAATAGGTTCTCAAGTACTTTTTCTGGTTGAGCCATCTCCCCAGCCCGTGTTTCAATTTTCAGTACCCACAGTCTTTAATCTTATCATTAGCTCTTCTTACTTGAGGGAGAAAATGATCTGCTTAGGATAGCTGCAGTACTTATGTTCTCTGACATGTACTCGTTTTGGTGAAACTGAAAATGCCATGTGAAGTATTAATCCAAATGCATGTTTTTTCCTCAATAGTTCTTCCAAAAGCATTGATTAAACACTGGTCCTTCCCCATGGGGCCTATCCAAGGGTTTCTATCTGCATCCAGCTGCAGATGATCAGAGCTGTCTACTGAATCATGGAGAGGCTAATCAAGGAGACTTGGCTCTGGGGAAATTAAAACAACCCAGAGGAAAACAACATTTAATAGGGTTGTCCAATCCTTAAAGAATCTGCAAAGAATTCATTATAGTTCTGTAAAAACCCAAGCAAAGGCAAAAATGAAGCAATTAATTCTAGGAACAAAAAACATGCTGGAAGGAAATGTCATTATATACATCCAAGGCTTAGCTATATTTACACAGGAATCTCAAGTACTGATTTAATTTAAAGCTGGAATAGCTATGTCTAAACATGAACACACAGGAAGGGGGGCGGCAGAAGGCTAAGATTGTGTCACAGCTCAAACCCTTCGTCTACAGGAAGAAGGCAACAGAAACAAACAGCTAACAGCTTGGGGAAGGGGATTTGGAGGACTATTGCTGAAAACATAGGGACTGCTTTTGAAATTAGTGATACTGATCTTATGTATTTGTGCAAACAAATCTCGGATTTTAAGATGTTCACAGGGTTGCAAACATGGCTCAGTGGTTAAGCACATGGATTGCTCTTCAGAGGAACTGAGTTGAAATCCCAGCACCCAAATCAGAGGCACATAAACACCTGTAATCTAACTCCAGGGGGGTCTGACACTTCCAGCCTCTGCAGGCACCCTGCCCCCCCAACTCACACTTAGAAACAATAAAAAAACAGGCCAGGCTGTGGTGGTAGCGGTGGCACATGCCTTTAATTCCAGCAGTTGGGAGGCAGAGGTGGGGGGATCTCTGTGAGTTCGAGGCCAGCCTGGTCTTCAAGAGCTAGTTCCAGGACAGGCTCCAAAGCCACCGAGAAACCAAAACAATAAAAATAAATTAAGAAAAGATGTTCGCAAATGTTTTGGACTAAATTCATGTTTCTACCTTCAGGAATTCATACATAATACACATTTATAACATACACACCAGCAAGTGTGAGGTATAGAATATTTTGTGAATGAATGAAGATTATTTTTTGGGAGAGTGGTAATTAGGAATTGAACCTATGATTCATGTATGCCAAGGATTTATTCCACCAGTAAGCTGGGCCTCAACTCCAAATGCGGAATCATAAATGTTATTTTAGAAATAAAATTAATAGCTGACAAGAAAATCACCTGGAGATGTGAATCAGCTCAATGCTAGAGCACTTGTGTGTTGAGCCCTGGGTGTGATTCTTAGCAGTGGGGAAAAACCCAATGACCAAAGCCTTGCCAAGTATTGAAGACTGGGGCAGAACTGAGCCTCCATCACCTGAAGGTGATAGACACGCTCCTCCACAGCAGCTCATCTCCTGTGGAGAGGGAGGGATGCAAGACAACTCAGAAAAGTTTGGAATGACAAACACCAGAGTAGCCAGCAAATACAGACAGATGCTCAGCTACCTCAACCCAGCTAAGAACTGCTTTCGACTACCTCAGGAGATGACGAGAGGACATCTGCTGAAGACACATGTAGAGATTCCACCACAGTCACACGTGCAAAAGTCACATGGTGGCACGGGTTGTCTCCACTGGTCTGTCACTTGCTAACTGTATTGTGTTTACAAGAAGTAAAGGCTGGGGGACAGTGCAGCTGTTAACAGCACCTCCTGTTCTTTGAGGACCTGGGCTTTGTTCTCAGCACCATAGTGGCTGACTTACAACCACCTAGAACTCCAGCCCCAGGGGCTCAGATGCCCTCTTTTGGCCAATATGGGCATTACCTGACATCATACAAATTTATAAAATACTTATGTAGCCCAAACATCGTTTAAGCTGGTGAAAAGCGAGCTGTCTTTAAAGGCATGAGGCTGTTTCAGAAAGAATCTACATGAAAAATTATTAGAAAAGATTTCTTTAAATTAGGTGACAGGGAGAAAACAAAATTAATAACAGATAGTGTTGAACAAAAACTGACATTGGAAATTAGAAAACACACGGAGTAAGGCTTATACTAGAAAGGTGATTTATTTATAATCCATAACCACACCTAGCCTGGCTGTCTGCTGAAAACGGGCTCTTTTGAGTGCTAATTATGTCCACAAATGGTTGGCCTTTCTATAAACCTCAATTTCCTCTTCTATAAAAAGGGAAAGTGTACCAGTCACCTCACAATACTTATCATTTTGCATTCTGATGGCTGGAGAAGTTGGATGAGAAACTTGAGTAAACAGTTTGGAACTCCAACTAAAGGAGCATTTCTTTCAGTGGCTCCAACTACTCTAGAAGCAGAAGAGCACGGCGCCATCTACTGTCCAGCTCTGTGAGCTGAAGATAATTTGGGGGCTAACAGCCTATACTTCTTTTTAAAACAAGAAGACACATTTGCGGTGAGTCTGAGCATTTGAACTACACAAAGGAGAAACCTTCACACTGTTCTTACAGAAGGATTCCCTGGGAGTCTCCTGTCTCCTGCCTGGAAGATGTTCTCTAGGTCCTGGCCCGCATGTGCGCTCTAACTGTCACTTCTGTGACAGGACTTCTGGATTACTTTCCAATACAGACTAATGGTTTAGCTACTTTATCTTGAGCACTTTCTGTGGGTTGACCCAAGTAGCACACTGACTCTTTTTTTTAAATGCATCTTACTCTTTGCCCCTTTTATTGAAAATAGATTCCCTCCCCCTCACATAATATATCCTGATTATGGTTTCCCTTCTCTCTACTCCTCCCCGTTCCTCCCTAACTCCCCTCCCATCTGGGTATACTTCTCTTCTGTCTCTCATTAGAAAACAAACAGACTTCTAAGGGATAATAATAAAATGTAGTAAGATTAAAAACCCTAACACATCAGAATTGGGCAAACAAACAGAAGGAAAAGAGCCCAAGAGAAGGCACAAGACTTAGAGATCTACTTGTCCACGCACTCAGGAGTTCATAAAACACTAAACTGGAAGCCGTAACATATATGCAAACGATCTGCTGCAGACTGGTGCAGCCCTGTGCAGGCTGTGAGTTCATACAAGCTTTGATCATGTTCACACTGACGTTTTCCTCTATGTCCTCCGTATCCCACTTACAGCGCTGGGGGATGGGAGCTTAACTGGATTAGACCCTTAGCACTACATTTACAAATATGAACAAGTGAAGGACTACAAAGCCAGATCCCCACAACCACCAGGACAATTGGAGGCTCATGCATGTGTATGTGTGTGTGCGTGCGTGCATGTCATAAATGAGAAGGGCTGTCTACATAACTATGTTTTTCATGTTTCGAAGACTTCAGAATTATCCGAGGAAGTAAGCAACATGAGGGCAGGAGCAGACTCCCTCACATGCACACCTGCGTGCAGGGGCAGGTCTAAATGTAGACGCTGATATAGTCCTATTTTGAGGAGGAGATTTTCAGATATCTAGTGCTGTGTATGTGAACTGTATAAGCAACACGAACAGCAAATTAGACATTTAAATGAACTACTACCGTGCTCATTTAAATGAGGTCATCTACATAGGACTGCACTCTGGGATGCATAAACACAATTCAACAAATGTCAAGGTTGAATTTTAGTTTTCTTTCTAAGTCAAAACTCCTCCACACATGCATAGTTCTCCTACTATATATACATGTGCTATGTACTTTAACTTTGGTCAAGAGCAAACATAACAAGTAGCGGATCTCAACATATTTTCCTCCAAACTTAGTAGCTCTAAAAGAAAGAAATTCAAGTGAGCTAGAAGCTAAAATAGGACTAGCTGTCTGGTCAAACCTGTCTCTTCATTTATAGAGAACACTCTAGAACAGTGGTGCTGGCCACGGCCCACCGGGAAGGGTTCAGGACAATGCAGCAGAGTTCAGCATTCACATCTGTAATCTCAACATGGGGGAGGCCCAGGCAGGAACTTAGTACAAACTGGAAGCCAACCTGGGGTGAGAGAGTCTGTCTGTCTGTCTGTCTGTCTCTGTTTCTCTCTCCCCCCCCAACACAAAAGAGTGAAAAAAAGACTGAAACTCCTTTCTATTGCCTTTTCTGTTACACCAACAGCTAGAATCAAGCAGGGAGGCAAAGAGCTGCCTTGAGAGCTTTCTAATGTACATGCCGTTGTGTGAGAGCAACACTGGACAGGAAAGAGGGCTGCAGAGTTGAGTTCCCTCTCGAGTCCTAGCCAGGATGGGCTCTGTCAACAGCTTCATTAATTATCTATCTCAAATACACACTTTCCACACTAAGGCTCCGTCCCGTGCAGCCCCCTTCTCTAAACATTCCCTTACGGAGACCGCAAAGACTGGAGGAGAGGCTGCTGCCTCATTTCAGCAGGATTACAGATGAAGAGAGATGTAATCACCTGTGTGTGAGAGGTCACCTACGAAAAAGGGGATAGAAAATTCTCTGAGCCTCTAAGCCCTTGAAAATACTCACTATTTTGCTTCAAAGAAAGTTTGCTATTAATTTTCTCAAGTGCAAACTATTTTTCTGGAATAGTACTTTTGGATCACTTTCACTACAAACTAAAGTTTCAGCCACTTCCTGTTTTGTACTCTTGTGTGCTGGCCAAGTGTCACACGGACATTCTCCTCTATGTTCTCCATATCGCCTTTACAGCGCTGGGGGATGGGTGCTGAACCAGGTTAGATCCTTAGCACTACAATTACAAATACGAACAAATGAAGGACTAAAAGCCAGATCCCCACCGACACCGTAACAAGACACACATGCCTTTGAGGCTTTCACAGTGCAGCACTTGCATACATGGTACTCACCATTCCTTCTGGAGCAGTTGCAGCTGCGGATCCTGCACCAAGAACAGAGACAGGAACATGAACAGAAGAGGCAGATGTGGCTCCAGCAGAGGTCATGGAAGCGGCAGAGGGAATGGCAGTGGCGTTGGCCACTCCTGCTGCTGCTGTGGCGGATGGCAGCAGCTGTGGCGGAACTGATGAAGGTATTGTAGATGAAGATGAATCCAAATGAGCAGAGAGCTCTCTTCCTGGACCAGCGGGACCACTCTCCTCCCTTTTATTGTTCGTGAAGTCTACCCCTACAAACCACAAAAGCATTCTATTAACAGTAGTCCAAATTCCTATTACAATCCTCCGGACAAGGAAAAGAGTAGTGGCTAAAATACAGTTCTAATGAAAATGCAGACACTTGCCATCTTGGGGGTTCACTGTTCACTTAATACAGTGTAGTATTCACGGGCTAATAACTTCAGATGAGGTGAAAGCTAACAAATGATCTGCACTTAATTACAAGCTAAGAATCAAGGACGCGCTCAGCTGGAGCCTGCCTGGGTGGACTGCCATGGAAACACAGCCACAGTGGTGGTGTATGTGCTCACACAGGGTGGGAGATCTGCGCTTTCCCACCTCACACAGACATACTGACAAACGGCCTTCCCACATCAGCAATCCTCCTCATTTCAGTTATTCTTCTATTTGGACAAAAACAAGGTGTTTTCGCTCTTAACATTTTAAGTTTTATAAATAAATGAGACATAAATTATGAGTAAAAAGCACCTGCCTGCTGAATCAGCTGTAGGGATGGTGTCCTCACAAAGGGACCCATCCCTGCTCTAGGGAGGGAAGGGAGACAACTTTCAGAAGGTAGGACAAGGGTCTTCACCCAGTTTTCACTTGAACTTTACTTGAATTTGAAAATGCAGTGAGATGGAGACACTGAGGAAGACACTGTCGAAGGTCTGCACTCTACAGACACAGCGACCGTGACCTTGTTAAAGTTTAACAGTGATCACAGTTCAAAGGTCCTTCCAACTCGGTGGGAGCAACATAAAATATCACCTATTCTTTGGGAACGGCACACATACACATGCACACACTCATGAGCACACCCCACATACCCTCCCACAGAGGTTTAATATGCTTCTGGCAGAAAGTAATCCTGCATGGCAGATATCCATGACTTAAAAGCAGAGAAAAGGTCAGGCACGAAGAGGCAGGTGACCGGCTCTCACTGCTGTGACTCATTACGAAGTTTCTGCTCACAGACCTCTGACCGGGAGACAGCTTTCTCACTTACGCCGTGTCTGAATCTGCTTAACAACTCTGCACCCACCATTTTAAGGATGTTTTAAAATGAAGACCCAAAAGCCAGCAAAGGTTTCATGGAACTGAAATCACTTTAATGAAGTGAAATCTCATGAATAAGCTAACTCTCAAATAGGACTTAAGCTTTACTGTCATCTTCTGCCTATTTCACAAAAAGCCCCAGTAAGATCTAGGGGAGCAGGTGAGAGGGTTCATCTAGTGAAAGTGCGCGTCACCAAATCTGATGGCCTAAGTTCAACTGCAGGATGGTGGAAAGAGAGACCTGACTCTAACATCCCAACCTCTACAATTTGTGCCATGGCCTGTGCACGCCCTCCTTCCTCCAAACAGATAAATACATAAATACAATGAAAAGCAATAAATAAACAAAAAAGTAAGTGGCTAGTGTGGTGACCAAAGTATTGGGTATAGTGAGGCACACTAGTCATCCTTGAGGTTTTGCAATTCTAAGTTGCCACTGTCTAACCTGTATACAGACTATAGTCAACGGCTAATTCTGGTAGAAAGATGGTGCCCTAACATCACCACTAAGTACCATTTGTGACTTAATAATAAATGTTTGCTGATGCTTTAAAACGAAGGCAAGTCAAGTACAGACACGTTTTTCACAGTATAATCAAATCACAGTGTAACAAGATGAAGTCATCTCTGATTTATTAGCAGAGTCCCCCAGTTGGATGTAATATTAGGCAATACTGAAGAAGTGCTCATGTACTTTCATGACCTTGGGAGCCTGACTCAAGATGACAACTGTATGCTAAGCTGGGTCTTACACGACTGTGTTGTCTTACAGGATGTCTTCTGTTCACTGCACTGCCTCTGTCAAGAGTTCCCTGAAGCAGGTATGTTATGGGCTTTACTTGGAGAAGGGGTCTAAAGCCCAGTGAGAGAAACGGCCCCACTACAAACTGATAGCAGTTTATAGTGTTCTAATCCATGCAGACAAACTATTACAAAAAGACTCCAGGTATTACATAGACTTAAAAAAATTATTTTGCCGATTTAATAGGTTTTAGGAAACTATGATTAGGTTAGAAATATTTAATCAACTAACTTTTCTATGAAATGTGCAAAAATGAAACTAGAAATTTTATCTTTAGAGGCATTAAAATTATTAGTTAAGAGAACCTCAAAATATTAAATGTTAAAATTAAACATTATTTTGGTTGTGCATGGTGATGCAGTCCTAAAATTCCAGTCCAGAGAAACTGAAGCAGGACATGAATTTGAGGCCAACTTAAATGCTGCCTCAAATAAACAGATAGATAGATAGACAGACAGACAGATAGATAGATAGACAGATGATAGTAGATAGATAGATAGATAGATGGATGGATGGATAGATAGATAGATATATAGATAAATAGATAGATATATAGATAGCTATATAGATAGACAGATAAAAAGACAAATGGAAGGAATCATTTTATCACTGAGCTTAAGTAAAAACTGAGACTCCTATTCATCAGCTCTAAAGCACAAGGGGCAATGAATACGCTCACTATTCTGGCGGATTCAGAGCCTAGGAAAGCACAGATGAGTGATGTAGAGACCAGGCACACTCAGAATATAACCAACCAGTCACGATTCCCCTCATTTCTTTTGAAACTAAGCAGAGAATCATCCATAAATTACTCACCTGCATCGTTTTTGTTCTGAAATATGGTCATGGCTTCAAGGTTCAATGCGCACACCCCCCTCATGAACGCTTTCTTCATGGAGTCTTCAAAGTGCTCTTTTTCTTGCTGCATTCTTTGAATCTCAGCTTTTGCATTCTCCAAAGCTCCAGATAACTAAAAAATTACACAAAGGGGGAGGGGGTTGAAACACAAGAAAGAATATTATTGTCAAAAGCTAGACCAAGGTTATTCTTTGCTTTTTATCTACTTAATTAATCCTCTGAGACAGGGTCCTCTGTAGCCTAGGCTGATCGCTGACTTGCCATGCAGTCAATGGTGACCTTGAAATACTCCTTTCTCTACCTCCCAAGTGCTCAGATTATAGATATATGCTACTGGACCCAGTCAGGCTATAATTCTTAGTGTGTATACAGCCAAGAACAAACATTTAAAAATGTTTATCTTTATTAATTTAAATAAACTATGCTCCTATGTAAATTCGATATAAAGCAAATGTTTAAAATTGAATTATTTTTCCTCTGAGTTTCAATAATAGAATTAACATTGTTTCCATAGGAATCATTTGGAACATGAAAGGGGTCAGAGAAAACTAGACATTTGGAATGCAAAGGGCCTTTTGAAATCATATTAAAAGGAAAAAGTCTTTCTTTCTTATAACAATAGTATTGAAAATAAATTCTACAGAGCTAGTGAGATGTCTCAGTCAGGAAACTGCTTAAATTATGAGCAGCAGGAACGGAGTTCAGTTCTCAGTCTACTTTCTTGAAGTGCGGGGCTCAGAGCTGTGCTCTATACTTTTCTTCTACTATACAAAGTGGAAACTTTATTTTTATTTATTCTTCTCTCATATATTACATCCTGTTCAGTTTCCCCTCTCCCTTTCAATACCCCACCGAGCCTCCCCTCTCCCTCAGATCCGCTCCTCCTTAGCTCCCCTTCAGAAAAGAACAGGACTCCCAGAGATATCAACCAAACAAGCATGATACGTTACAACAAAACTAGGCACAAACCCAGTAGGAGGAAAAGGGTCCCAAGAGTAGGCAAAAGAGACACATATCTACTCCCACTGTTAAGAGTCCTACAAGAACACCACATTTTACAACCGTAACATATATGCAGAGGACTGAGCTCAGACCCATACAGGCTCCGTGACTGTTGCTTCAGCTTCTGTGAGCCCCTGTGAGCCCTGCTTAGTTGATCCTGTGGGCAGCTTACCATAGCAAGTTTGGCTTCATAATCATTGGAGATCTGCACACAGACTTCTTCAGCCCTCGCTTGGCATGCCCGTTCTACCACCTCTTTCCATTGCCTCTGAACCACGGAACGCCAACCCTTCCAGACTTTCTTCAGCAAAGTTCTCTGGAAGTACTGGTCAGCCAGTTTACCTTCATAGACCTGAACAAAGGCAACACCCAACCTCAGAACCTAGAGAACTGGTAAATGGGGAATGTAACAAAAACCAGCACAGCGGGAAGGGCACGGATGCCATCACTAATCCTATACAATCACGCTGCTGCTGCACATAGGAAACTGGCTTAGAGAGGTTCAGTAACGGATGGGGCCACTTAGGTGGGGATGGAGAAGTCAGGCTTGCCTGGTTCTAGAGCCTGCGTTCTTGACCAAGGCATTACAGCTCAACAGGACTTATCAAGTCAAAGGGAAAACAAGAAATGTGTCACCTCAGTCATGAGTCTGCGCGACCTTTAGCTGAAAGCAGGAACTGGAGAGGAACAGATGGCTAGAAGGTGGAAGGTGGTAGCTATAGTTCACGTGGTTCTACTTTCCCTTTTGTTTGTGGAAATAATTACCTCACACTGTCACCCTCTGCAACACCACGCTGAACAAATAGGGAACATCAACTATTTTTCTTTCATCAGTGAATGCTTTTCAAGTAGTTGCATTTCTTCATTTTCTTAAAATTAAGATACTATTCAAAAGTGATGACAACTTGACAGTTCCAGTCAGCATTTAAAATACATATTCTCATCTGTGTCACTTAACACATACTTTTAAAATTATGGCACACTAATTTTAGACAGTCTCACCCATCCACCCATCCTAAGTGTGGTGTATGCATGTTCACATGGGCATGGACACGTGTGTATGTGCATGTAGATCAGTGGTCCATGTAGGTTATCTTCCTCTATTTCTCTGCCTTATTTTTAGAGACTGATTCAGTTAGGGTGGACAATGAGTTCTAGGAATCTCCAACCGTTCCAGCCCCTAAGTGCTGCTATGCATGGCTTTGATTTGAGAGCTAGAGATGTGAACACAGGCCCTCATGCTTATGCAGCAGACCAGCAGTCACTTTACTGACTGAACCATGTCTCCAACCCCTTGATACCTTGTTTCAATGTGATGAATGTGTATTTGATACACGGGGTTAATACAAGATACTTTTTTTTGGTCCATTAATTATTTTTATTTATTTATTTTAGTTTTATTGCTTTTATTTATATATTTTTCTCGACTTCCCCCTCTCCCAGCCCCCCTTCTACCCTCTCCCATTATCCCCAAGTTCCCAATTTACTCAGGAGATCTAATAGAAGGTACTCTTAAAGGAGATTCATGATAATATTCTCCTTAAGTATTGATCTCTTAGGACTACTCCAGGGCTATATGAATATAGCCTTTATTTTCTATATTCATGTCTTTTACATCTCTATATTTATTTCTTTTAATCAGAGATTTCTACATTCTGTTTTTATGGCATATACATATTCATACTTTTCTGCATTTCAGTCAGTTGTTTTATTTAAAATTTTGTGACGTGTGTCCATGTATGTGAGTGCAGGCACCTGTGGAGGCCAGAAGGTGGTAAATGCCCTGGAGTTGGAGGTGCAGTTGGTTATAAACCATCTGGTGTGGGTGCTGGGAACCAAGGTCCTTTGCAAGAGCAGCATGCACCCTTAGCTGCTGAGCCTTCTCTCCAGCTCCACTTTTCTACTTTTAATACAGTGTTTTCTGCTCTGCATGCTAAGCTGACAATTCACAATCCTCCCGCCCCCACCTCTCATTTGCTGAGACCACAGTGCATACAAACATTTATTCCTTCATTAATTTATTGTTCTTTGTTAATTTAATAAATAACAATTATCACTAATAAAGAACAAATATTACAAACTAGCACTATTTTTGATATACAGAGCATTTACTTATTAAAAGTATGATATTCTGGTATAAACTTGTCAAAACCTACCTAATATGACCTTTAATTCTCACACTAGGTCAAGTCTCAAACAAACACCACCTGCTTCATTTTAAGTGTAAAAGTAGTAATGCCTCTTTATGAAGAGGATGTACTTAGGATTTATCATCAGCATTTCTTTTAGAGCTAACATCTTGTTATGTTTTCCAGGCTGGGACCATACCCTGGGCTCAAGCGATCCCCCTGCTGCAGCCTTGAGGAGCTAAGAACATGCATCAAGCTGCTATACTTGAATAGACATGTCAGAAGCAGAAACAAGAAAGGAAGCAAATGGCCTATTTAAGGCTACAAATTCTTTTCCCAAATAACTGCTTCCAAAGTCAAGTGTCTTAAAGAGTTTCATCGCCAAGTATTTAAAAGTCAGGGTCAACTCTTGTTAAACCACAGTGAAGCAGCAAAAGGCTTATCTATCATATATATATATGTCCTACATCAATACAATCCAAGAGGTATTTTTCTAAATGCATCAAAAGCAAATTTCTTGAAATCAGAGCAACATTACAACCTAATTTGTATTGACTCATTAGAAAACAAATCTTTGACTTTAGCAAGAGTTCTAGTAAGTCACCCTAAAGTCTCTCTAATTAGAAGCCTAACAACTGACTGACAGTGGTCGTCTTTTCATACTCACATCCTGTCTTGACTTGACATGGCTGATTCGCCAGTGGAAGAAGGTTTTCATCAACTCTGCCCTTTCCTTTTGCTTGCCGATGGCCTGAGACAAGCTGGAAATCACCTGTGAACAGTAATAACTCAGTTACTGTGATACCAGGACAGCAGCAGCTGACTCACGGAAAGGACACCCATCCTTCTGGGTTTTCTTTTGTCTTAAGCTACAGGGTGCCTGGCTGCTCAGTTTATTCATTTTCAGAAAGTGATTTTTTCATGTAAAAATGCTATAGAGAATAATTATAGGTATCTCCTCTATTCATCAATTAGCTCATCTTTCTTTCTGCTTTTTGAAACATTGTTTCACTATGTAGCTTAGGCTGGACTCAAACTTGTGATCCTCCTCCTTCAGAGTGCTAAGTGTTGGGACTGCAGGCATATGCTGGCATGCTGGGCACAGACTATTACTATAGAAACCATGGTTCTCATGTGAATGTGGTAAGTATCAATGAACGATGGGAAAAAGGAAAAGAAATCGTCATTGTGAGTACATCTTGCTACTCTCCAATAAAGTTTACATGCGTGAGGATTAACATACTTCCTAACGTTTACCTCCTGAAGGTAACTGCTGTTTCATATTTGGAAAGTCTTTATTTATCTGACTTATGAAAAGGGTCTGATTGAAATGTTTTCCTAGTCCTTGTTACTACCTTAGATATACAAGTTTCTCAGCATTTAATTATTTTGTGGTTTCAACAAATTTATAAACACAATAGCTCTGTTTTAATGGTTTTCTTGAATGATATTATTACTATCCTTAAAATAAAGCATTTAACTCCTAAGATACTATTTTTCCAGAGAACCGAATGACTGGATGTATCTGAAATAAGACACAGTGGAAGGACCTCAGTAAACCACAAAACCCACAAGAAACTAAGTTCTAGTTTATGTCTTTTTCCCCCTTTGAGGTCAGAGTCTTGCTGTGTTCACAGCTGGCCTTGAACCTGTGATCCTCCTTGTCTCCACCTCTTAAACACAGAGATTATGTGTATACAATGCCCAGCTTTGCTTTCTAAATAAGAAAGGGCATTCTAAGTTGTCTGCTACACTGTCTTAAGTTGGATGGCGACATACGGCTTGCTTATTTTATCCACTTTCATAAACAGAATGCAAGCATACTCATTTTGTATGCTTCTGCAAGGTCAGAAAAACGAGGAGTTTTGAAGATAATAGAGAAATCGTTTCAAACAAAGCATACTACACAAAATGTTTGATTTTATACTAACCAGTAAAGAACAGTAACTGTACATCTGAAAAAATATCATCTTGCCTATTGTATAGATTATGTCTATAATCCCAGAAGTTGGGAGATGGCTAGAAGAACTTCCAGTTGAGAGGCTAGCCTGAGCTACATACTAAGTTGAGGCCAGCCTAAGCGACACAGTAAGACCCTGTCTCAAAGAGTCAAGCAATAATAAACCTGCCGCTTCGTAAGGTGAGCTGCTGTTGCGCCTGCCCCGTCCTGTGACATCTCACACATTCCCGTCCATAAACAGATGTGAGTCAGCTGGGGCACAGGCTCCCTGCCCACTATTTTGCTTAAGATGTGATCAAGAGGTACGAAAACTTGGACCAGTTTGAACTCTACCCTCTGGTTTTTAAGAAGCCAAGAGGACATGAGGAGTTTTTCTGTGTTTATTTCACTGAGAGCATTTGAGATGCTTATCCTGTCATCCACAAGGATGGAGGATGTAGGTAATGCTGGCTCCTTGATGTTAATGAGTGACAAAAATGATCAGGTAGAAAAACCTAGTATGTCTGTGTCTACATTGAGTAGGCTCTTAAAACATCATGAAACACCAAAGCCAGAGCTTCCAGATGGAGCCCACTACACTTCTTGGTCTGTCTGATGGGAGCAGGACAGTCACAGCTCAGAACTGTATTTCCAGTGAGCATCTGCTGAGCCTCACTTAAAGGGAGGCATAGAAAAGAGGACCTCATCCTTTCTTCCAAGGGAAACTTCAAAGGCTTTCTGTAGCTCCTTCAAGTCAGCTATCTGGTTCGACAGCTGCTTCACAAGCGCCGCATGCTTTTCCTTCTCTTTCTTCATCTCCATACGGTGCCAGTCGATAAAATTAAGTCTCCACTTACTTAGTTCAGATATAATGTTTGTCTGAAAAGAAAACATACTGAAAATAACTCATTTCTTCTTTAAAACCACTCTTAAAATTAAACTGAAAATAAACATTAAAAAGAGCAGGTCAAAACAAGAGCTATTAAAAGAAAAAAATCCCAGCACACTAATAAACGATGTTAGCAAGCTCAACAGCCACGGCTCTCCATGGTTCATTCACCATCCCAAGGGAACCAGTTTCCCGATGTATGCTACTTTGTATGAAATCTTACGACATTAAAAAATCCAGGTTCCATTCACTACATTCGTTTGTGTAGTCACAGACTTAAATGTCTATACTAAAATAGGTTAGATGGGGCGGAGAGATGGCTCAGTAGCTGCGAGCACTAGCTCTTCTAGAAGACCTGAGCTCAATTCCTAGTGCTTGCATGGTGGCTAGCCATATGCAACTCTCGTCCTGTGAAATCTGATATTTTCTTCTGTCAACCCATGGGAACCGCAAGCATGGATGCACTTACATAAACGGAGGCAAATATCCCTACACATAAGATTAAAAACATAAAATGTCAAAAAAATTTAAACAAAAAATGGTTCAGGTTTAGAAATGTAGGATTGTGGGCTAAATTGAGGCACAATGATCGGCTGATTAGTGGTGATAGTGGCAGCTGAAACCATAGAGCTGAGGATTTCCCCAAACACAATAGTCACCTGACAACAAAGACCTCAGCCTGCTCACCCTACTGACTGGCATGAGTAAAACTATCAAGCCATCTATGAGCATCTAAAAACAACAAAAACCTTCAATAAATATTCTTAGTTAATTGAACAGAGAGTCGTTTGAATGGTTGTTCGTACAATACTGCAACAGACTTCCTCTATTTCCACACCAGGAAACCTGTTCCAAGGGGAAGATGGTAGAAACTGCTGGCAGAGCATTTCTAGAGTTTAAGGTTTCAAATAACAGGAAGATGTAGATGCCACAGAATTCATAAGATCATAACTTTATGTAAATACATACTATATGCTTCAGTAAAGTTCATTTTTTCCATTTTAGAATAGTTAAATCATATTACTTAAAAAGATACTTGTTTTAAGTTATGCATAAGTCTCTGTGTGGGTACATGAACATGAGTGTAGGTGGCCTTGAGGCCATAGGTTTCAGATGCCTTGGAGCTAGAGTTCCAGTAGGTTGTGACCCACCGACAGGGTGCTGGAAATTGAATTTCAACCCACTGCAAGAGCAGCACTTTTGCTCTTTAGTGAGCCATCTCTCCAGTCCCTCAATTAAAAAAAATAGCAAAAATCAGAACATTTCTGTACTACTGTTTTATTGGCAGGCTATTAACATCACCAAATAAAAACACTTTCAGATTCTTCAGACAATGTGGCTGCTATAAAATTAATATGCATTGGTAAAGTATATATTTTTTTAAACATAAAAGGTCTTTCATATAGCTGGGACTCCAGGTATATGGCCCTCCTAAGGTTCTATTTGTCATCACTGGGTCTGAAGAGACAAATAGTGTCAATCGTCACTGCACATCATCAAGAAGTCCTTTAAAACACATGAGAAATGCGGCAGAACATACAGTATCCTAGCAACTCCTTAAAACCCTACAACTCAAAGTAGGGTTTAGAAACCAGTAACATTACCTAGGAGTGTAATAGAAACATGTAATCTTAGGCCCCACCTAAAACATACTGAGTACCAACTCACGGTTACCAAGACATTGAGGCAGTTCATATGTGCACTAAGGACAGAGGAGCACAAATCTGAGACACGGCATGGATCATTCCAGCAACCTAAAGGTTTAGGTTTTTGTTTTCTAGAAAAATTAAAAAGAAAGAGAGGGAAGAGAGAAGAAGAAGAAGAAGAAGAAGAAGAAGAAGAAGAAGAAGAAGAAGAGAGAGAGAGAGAGAGAGAGAGAGAGAGAGAGAGAGGGCGCTTAAATGCCAGACTGCAGTGCACACTGCAGCAGAGCAACTGCAATACCTTCAGACCTGAACTCCAGAGGTCAAGTACATTCTCCACCTTCTGAAGATTTTCATCAGTAACAAGACGATCACCCACAATTATTTTATGGGCATCTGTATGAGTAGAAGTAGAGGCTGGTGAGGAAGAGTCATCTAAAAGATGTGAACTGAAGAAATCCATGACTGGGTGAGAGGGCTTCCTGGGTGACAAGACTGGCGATGATCCTAGAAGAAAGGCAAAACAATCAAATAGCAGCCAGGTGAAATGGGAAAGTCTACAATTGGCAAAATAATATCAAAAGGCTACAAGATGTCTGTCAACTCTGGAGGCTGAGAAAAACAGAGAGATCTACCTCAGTGTGGGTGATTCTGATATTAGTACTGTCATTGATTGAGGTCTGACTGACGTGGGATGCCTTCTACCTTCTACATCCCTTCCACCCTTCACAAACAGCAAACAAAGATGTGTCTTATCCTGGTCCAGTATGAACTGAAGACATACCATCACATTAACATTAACAAGTGCTTTTACATTTCTGTGATAAAAATGTTTAAGGGCTAAGTCACACATGCCATCCTAAGAGGCAGGTATTTTCTAGACCTTAAGGAGAAAACTAGGGATCAGAGAGTTAACTGACCAAGTGAGGGTAGTTGTATATAGACCACTATTGCTTTATATTCAGTGCTGGTACTGCCCTTCACATTGTTAAGATTTGACAATATAAAGGGGCTAGTTATTTAGTTTATCAGATACTGTGGATGAGAACTATGTAGACCAATCATGTTCATAGACACATAGCTCTCATCACTTGCCATTACTCAGTGAATGGGGGAGAGCCAGACAGATAACTGGCCTCTATTTCTAAAAAGCACACAATAGAAAAGTCAATCTCCTATTACAGATTTACTAGAGTTAGACACTATCCGTCACCATTTCTCGTGTATCCCACACTAACCATGAAGATTTTAGTAACCAGGACTGAAGGGCTTTCCTCTCTTTCTTGTAAAATGAATCAATGACAGGATTACTATACAACTTGTTACTTAAAAGCAAATCTTTCCAGAACTCCTTGCAAGTAGAAAAATTATTCCCTAAGTTGTACATCTGCCATGCAGATATGTATTTGCTTTTCCCCTTTTGTTTGTTTGTTTTCTGAGATAGGGTCTATGTAGCCCAGGTTGGCCTCAAACTAGCTATCTCCTCTTGTCTCAATGTCCTAAGTCGTGGGGTTGTAAGCATGTTCCACCACCATGTCCAATAGACTCTGTGCTTTTATTGTTGAAATAGTCACCGTTTACAAAATAGAATCATAAAACTTAAGAGCTTAAAAGATCACCTGCAATGATACTTCCCAAGATTTAAATATTATCACAAAAACCAGCAACAAATGAGCATTTTAAAAGTCTGATTATTATGTAATATGCTGACATTATTCCAGTAAGTACACTGTACTTAATGAAACAAACTAAGGAACTGTCATCCCACCTGATTTTGAGTGGTTGGAAATATCACATCCTTTTCCAATTTCCATTGCAGTTTCTCTTACAGGATTATTTCCTACCAGAAAGAATAAAGTGGGGAGTGGGGGGAGGACACACACACACCTAAAATCAAACTGAACTGTACAAGACAGTGGCTTTACTGTGACATTCTCAGGTATGCAGACAGCATACACATCCCTTCCTACTCTGCTGTCCCTGCTCCTCTGCCCTTCAAATAACATTCCTTCTACTTTTAAGTCTTGAATTAAAAAAAAAAATCCATATTCCACATATGTGGGAAAACATGCACTATTTATCTTTCAAAGCCTGGTTTGTTTTGCTTAACTTGATGATTCTCAGGTTCCATTAATTTTTCTGCAAACAACATGGTTTTGTTTTTCACGCCTGAACAACACCCCGTTATTCTCCAATTCTATGCCATGGCTATAGTGAATAGTGCTGCAATAAACATGGTATGAGGTGTTGAACACTAGCTTGGACTTTCTTGAGTGTATATTCAGAGGCATAGAGCTGGGCCATATGGTAGTCCTAGTTTTAGTTTATTTTAAAAAAGAAAACAACAACAACAACAACAACAACAACAAAACACACACCAAAATTAAGCAGATCCAAAGATTACTCAATATAATTCAGTTAGAATTGGCATTCGGAATGGAAGTTGTGAAGCTAGCTCCACATTAAATTTTATACTTTTAGTATCAAATATATTTTATGCACTTACTTGCCATCAAAACAAAAAATCCAAGACAGAATTAGAACTAGAAAAGCTTGCAATCATTTTTCATATCTTGTATCCATCTACTTTTGAGAGGATTCTCCACAGTGCCTCTCTTAGTGGCTGCACGAGTCCATATTCCCACCCACCAGCGGCATGTTAAGAGTCTACCCTGTACTTATATTTTCACCAGAAGTTGTTGTTTTTGTGTTCTGGATGACAGTGCTGCTGTGGGGTAAGATTGGAATTTCAATATGGCTTTGATTTGAATTTCCGATTGTTAGAGAGGTCAAGCATTGCTCAGTTGTACTTCTTTATTTGAGAACACTGTGCTTACTTTCTATGTATCTATCTGAGGTATAGAGATAACGTCTGTAAATGCACACACACAGTCTGTGTACCTATGTGATGACTATGCACATGCCTTGACATGTTTGCGGAGATGCTCTCCTGCTGTGTTTGAGACAGGGTCTCTGTTGTTCAGTGCTGTGTATGCAGCTAGCCAGTCTGTGAACTTCTGGGATTTTCCTGTCTCTGCCTTCCACCTTGCCTGAAGGGCAGACTCACACTATCGCACTAGCTTTACATGGGCTCTGGGAATTTCAAATTCAAATTCTCAAACTTACATGGCAAGCACTTGGCCTGTGAACTCTCTCCCCAGCCTTGCCTGTTTATATTAATTGGTCTGCAGTACTTTAGTTTGGTCAGTAGGAACTGCACTTTAAGGTACTCAGTGTCATCAAAATATGATCGACACTCCTGATGCACAGTGAGTAAACCCAGGGTTCACATCTCTTAAAAGAATTGAAATCTGGACAGAAAACATTCTGCCATAGTAAATTATATGAAGTCATGGTCCTCCAGTCTTATTTCTTGTTCCAGGGCAGCAGTCTAAAGATGGGAACATGGTGAGGGGGCAGGGATGAACAAACGGAGCGAATGAGGAACAGAGACTAGGGCTGTGACTCAGCAGAAACCCAGGAGCCTTTTGTCTCTGTGTGGGTTGTGAAACACATCCTCAAGGACAGTTATTCTTGGAGGCAAGCCAACTATATGATGACTTCTCATGTTGGCTGTCTCAGCCCTCTCAAAGAATGTTTATTCAGGGCCCATGAGATGGTGGGTAAGGATGCTTGCTGCCAAGCTTGACATGAGTTCAATCCCTAGAAACCATGCAGTGGAAGGAAATAACAGACCCCTGTGGGCAGGTGTATGTAGGCATGTACATACACATGTTCATGAATAAATAAATGCAAAACAGAGAGCTCTTACTCAGAATGAGTTGTTTGAGCTTGTACTTTTACTTAGAGGTAAAAAGAGCTTCCTGTTTCTTCCTTTAACCCTATATCAAAGCACAATGTGGCCTGTGCCAGATTCCAGATGGACTGCTGACAGTCCACAAGAAGGCTCACCTCTGTGCTATAACCCAATCTATCCTCCATGTCCACATAAATATCGCCGACAAAGTACTAGTATGTGGTTCACAGAGGGCAATGTTGGGATCACCTTTAAAGATGGGCTTGGGCATTTAGTTTTCAAAGTAATCCTCGCATAAAACTTCTGGATCAAGAACTGAGGCATAACATATCCCACTAAGAGATAATCACCATGTGTTACTTTGACTTTAGTCATTTTCATAAAGTTAAAAGTCAACTGAATTTTAAATAAAATCTAGCTTTCAAAAGAGCCAAGAACAACAGAGTAAAATGTAAAGCAGGACCCATATATTACTGCTTTATACCATGGATGGAGAGGAAATTGCTGATGGCAAGGAACATTTCCACAATAATGTCACCATCACCGACAAACTCAGGTTCTTACGTGGTATCTTGACAACTGTACATAATCTGGTTAGCAAAACATACCGGCTGGCATAGGAAATCTATCTGGTACCACTTCTCCCTTTGGATGAGACGGCTGTGAAGCACCGGATTCAACATTTGGATTCACAATAGCATAGCGCAGCAATTCCTCATACTCCTCCTAGGAGAAGCAGTGACAGTCGTGGATTATATAGTTACTGTGCTGCACCCAACCACTCAGCTTCTTCTGGTGTTAAGAAAACTACTTAATCACGTAACAGTCATATTCTTACTACAGTACAGAAACGTTTGACTCTTATGCTAAGCTTGACTTCTTTGAGTACTGGTATGACTTTTATATTTACAGTTAAAAGTTTAAAGAGGAAACAGATGTTGGTGATTCATATAATATTTTCTTTCTTATGTTTCAGATCAATTTCACTGAAGATGAGAAGACATGCTGTTAAAAAGCTATCACTCTCAATTTCAAGTACTTCAATTGAGACTGTTTATATTTTCTCTCTCCTTTCTTCCCTTTTACCCTTCCTTCCTTTCTTCCTTCCTTCTTTCTTTCTTTTTAATTTTGAGACAGGACTTCCCTATATTCTTCAGGCTAGAACTTGCTGTGAAGTCCAGGTTGCTATTAAGCCTGCATTTTTTCTGCCTAAGCCTCCCGAGTACTTGCATTACAGGCATGCATCACCACACAAGGTACTCGAATTTTCTTGCTACTATGCAACTCAAAAGAAGCAAACTGGACACTCAAACTTATGAAACTACACAGGCATTTTGTTTTCCTTAGTTTCAAGCACACACTCACAGGGCAGCTTTCTTAATTTTGCTACTGTTCTTAGTAGAAAATGGCAAGGATTTGAGTTCATAAAATAAATCTGTATGATTGTAGCTTTGTTTTAGCATTGGAATTTTAAGTAAAATTCTAAAAGGAGTTTGTACTATTCTGTTTGAAAATTGTAAAATTTCAACGTGAAAGACTGAGTAGGATTGAATTTCAATGTGGAGTCTATTTAACACACATATGCATTAGGCATTAGGTGAAGGAAACTTTTTTGCAGTGTATATTAATGCTGTGGAAGAAGAGAAGCAAACACTTATGGAGTGACAGAAGAAAGCTGTTGACAGACCTTAACACCAGAGCCTTCACATGGCTCTGAACAACTCTTTCTTAGTGACGCCCCTTCAAAGCAATTTCAAACCGTGTCCTAGGATAGGTAGAAGGTGTAGCAGGTGCAGATGTGAAGACCTGTAATTGTAGCACTGAGAAGTGGAGGTGAGAGGATCACGAGTTTGAAACTAGCATGGACTAAACAGTCAGTTCCAAGCTAGCCTGAAGGTACAAAGTAAAACTCTGTGTCAGGAGAAAAAAAAATCATTTAGCATATGATGATGTCTACAGCAATTATAATTCTTTACAGTAAATTAATTGTAATTCTTTAAATTAATGATAATTCTTTTAAAATATTTAATCAATTAATTAATCAATTAAGCTTGTTTTTTCAAGACAGGGTTTCTCTATGTAGCTTTCTCTGTGGAGCTTTGGAGCCCATGCTGGAACTCACTCTGTAGACCAGGCTGGCCTTGAACTCACAGAGATCCATCTGCCTCTGCCTCCCAAGTGCTGGGATTAAAGGTGTGCGCACCGCACCACCACCTGGCCTTAAATATTCTTAAATTAAAAATACTATAAATTATATCTGGTTATTAAAATAAAGGGAAATGCCAAGGTTTTCAGTTATTAAGATAAAAGGCAACCCTAACTTGATAAATGTGGACAAGATACAAGGTATCCGTTGCTTTCTATAAATTTAAATGTGAGTTGACTCTAATAAAATAATATATAGAATTCCAAGTCTCCTGTAGTAGACCTGCTAATGGACCATAAGCAGCCATTTCTCCTTTACTCCTGTAAATCAATAAGCCCCAGGGTTTGACCTGGGCAAATGGTCATCGATTTCTTCTACCTCCCTTGCAGCTAAGGTAGTTAGAAAACATGGTCCTTGGGATTTGACTCTCTCATATAAATAAGAAGCCCTTACCTCGTCAGTTCTCCTAATTTATCTGTCAGTGTCCAATCAAGGTGGCAGATTATGCCAAATGTTGTGGCAACAGGAACCAGAACCTCACTGTATAGAACAGCAGAGAATCCTGGGCTCTAGAACTTCAGATGGGTTTATGTTCTGTTACTTTACATTAAGAATGAGAGCATTCAGCAGAGGCAGTTAAGTGAGAACACCTCACAAAATGTTTCTGAAACTTTGAGTTTTATTTTTTACTATGTTAAAGTCTTTGTAGAAAAGCTTTGGAACAGTTCATGGCTATTTTCTGCAAACTTAAAACAATATACTACCCAAATTAGTAGAGAGTTCTCTAAGTTTGATAATATGTAAATGGAATAAGTAAATAACAAAATGTATTTTTAGTTTTGTCACAAATTAACACTTTAATTTTGCTTTTTTGGGGAGTGGTCTGTCTTTGTAGCCCTGACTGTCCCAAAATTCTCTATGTGGACCATGCTGGCCTTAATCTTAAAGAGATACCCCTGCTTCTGCTTCTTGAGTACTGGGATTAAAGGCATACAGCATTACAGAGGGCTTTATGCTTTAAAATAAAAAAAATCATAATAATTTAGATGTCTTCCTACCTGGAGGTCTGTGGAGACGGAACTGTCGTGATCAGAGTCATTGTGAGCAACATGGAGTGAGTATTTGTCCTCGTCAGACGACATTCTGCACAGATGCTGTGAAGCAGCAAAAGTTAACTTGGTTTCCCAGAATGCTTAATTCAAAGCTTTTAAAGACAGGGGCATGAAGTAGTGCTTTATCTTGCAAACAATTTTTCATGCCATTTAAAAGAGATCACTCACTCAACATATTGAGCACTTACAGGTGGGAATCATCAGGCCAAAAAAAAAAAAAAAAAGAGGACTTATTCCAAACTCCAAACAGTGCATAATATAGTGTATTATAATACAGTGAGAGAGATGAGCTAAATACATCAAAGATTAAAGAAAAATGCTTCAGGACAATCCTCTGCAGGGTGTGTTAGAGGTAAGAGTTTGTGGTCACTATTCTTCAGCCTTATATGACATCCCAGGGACTGCATACTTTCCTGTGAGATACTGAACTAAGACAGCTCAATAATTTCTGTAAATTTCCTTCCCGAGACACTTACATTTTGGAATATTATTGTAAGAAAATTAAGTTTATATACTACAACATACTGAAATAAACACATCGAAATTATTAAAGGTCTTAGTGAAAGAAAACTAATAAAAAATAAATTTAAAAATAGAAACTATTCAAACTTTTGGACACCAGTAAGAGAGACAGATGGCCCACGAACTGAGACCTGAAAGATGAGCAGGTCCACCCTGAGAGACAGATGAAGGCTGAAAACAGCACAAACCAAGACACAGAGGCATGGCATGTACTCTAAAAATAACAAGGGTGTCTGGCGAGGCTGAACCAAAGGAAACCAAGTAAAGAGGAAATAAAAGGGAACAGCTGAGATCAGGACTTGTCATATTAAAAGGCTGAATTGTTCCAGAAGGTACTATTAAGTGACTTAAACAACTGATGTGCCCAATCTTTTTATTCATTTTTGTAGTGCTGAGGATTGAGCCCATATGCAGCTATGCCTGTCAGGGCAAATACTCTACTGAAGAGCCACATCTCCAAACATAACCTTGTTTTTTGTTTTTAAAGAAATTACTCTGACAACTTTAGGGAAGGTTGGGATTCTAAAAATATAGAAACCAACTGAGAGCTAGTTGTAGCAATTCAAGCATAAAGGTTCTTCTCATCATTGACGCAGGGGACAACTGAGCTCCCTAAACTCAAATGCAGCCCTGGCGAGGGTAAGGGTGATGTGGCTCGGAGACAGCTGTGCGGTGGTGGTGCAAACGAGGGGTCATGATTAATGGCCACTTAAAAGGAGAAAGCGCAGACTGTCGAAGGTGTCCAGACTTCTGTCTTAACTAGATGGATCACAACAATACTCACCAAAGCAAGGACTGCAAAAGGTGACACTCGGAAGATGGATGAGTAGTTCAGTGCCAGGAGTACTGGCGGGAGGTCGCCGTGGGAGCACTGAGTAACGCTGGGCCTGCAGGACAGTCAGCCTTCAGTGTCCTTGGGTTCCACATCCATGCATCCAGCCAACTGTGGGTCAAAAACATTTCTTAAAATTGCACCTGCACTGAACATGAAGACTTTTCTTACCATTATCCCCTAAACAGTACTGTGCAACAGCTACTTACTCAACGCTTAAACAGCATCAGGGTTATAAATAAACTGGAGACGGTTTAAAGTGTGGAAAGACTGTCTGTGGAATAGGCTACATGCACATGCTGTGCCATGTCACACAGGTCTCTTGAGCAAATGCAGACGGAGATGTCTGGGAATTGAGCTCTGACTGTGGCTACAAAGGACAGCTGTTGGATGGTCACTGCTGTACGGTGCACAGCTCCAAGCACTGCAATCCACAATGGCTAAAATGTAATACCGATTCTTAAAATCAAGCTCCTAAACTCAATATAAAGAAGGGAGACCTGAAGTACAAGTACAGGCTGAAGGTTGAGACCGAGGAAGCATTGATTTATTGGTGTGTCTAAATAAAGGGAAATGAGTGGGACCACCCAATGAGGCGTGGTAAGGAATTATTATCTTGCAGACCAAACCCACACATTGCAGACACTTTTAGAATATATATATATACATGTGTATTTTCCAGAAAGAGTTTTAGCTTCCAATATAATTTTGGAGGAGATCATAATCCTGATAAAGTTAAGGACTATTCCCATGAGAAGACAGTTAAATCTACAATTGATAACTTTTAAGACTCAAAGTCTTGGTCAAATGTCTGGAGAGAAATCCAGAACACTGGAACTGTGGGGGCAGCACCATGAGGGTCATGGACCAAAAAGGGGTAAGGATGGCCGTCAACTAGTCAATCAGGAAGTTGCTGTGCCATTTGTGACAGTTTCAGTTGCTACCAGAACAGGCCTCAATTACAGCTTGCTGA